TGATAGAAGGTGTACTGTTAGCAAGGACACGCAGAAATAAAGAAAGGATCTAAAAGAATTCGATCGAAAAGAAGAGGAGAGCAGGCCGAAAACTCTCTCAATTTGAATTACAGAAGGACTTTACACTCAAGAGCAGTCCGTTTATCAAAAGTCAGTGTAACACGTTGAAATATTCAGTAACAAAAGACGAGAATAAAGTAAAAATATTTTTATTCTCGTAATAAATATTCATTAGTTCTCATAAAAGTGTGAGAAAATCATTCTGCTCTGATTCAATTGTTGCCTATGGATTTTGAATCCACTGTGCCCATCCTCTGACACAACACAGTGTCTTCCGCAGCAAAGACACATTCTAACACAGTGTATCATTTTAATCTTGTTTAACATTGACAAATAATAATACAATGTTACACTGTGTTCTTCTAGGAAAACACCTACAGTGAATAGTTACATCTTTATTATTTATCAATGTTAAACAAAGTCACTGTATTACGCTGTATTTCTTGCTGGAAAGCACCAATAAATACAGCAATCCAATTATAGATATCAATGACATTATCTACTTTTCCAAAGGTAATCACTTATCTTTTTCAGATAATCATACCGTATTAACATGCGACAAAAATAGATAATACAATAACAGATACCAATGAACACGTATATGTATATTCTTTCGAATAAGAGTAATTTTACGTACTGGAGGATGCAGCTTGTTCAACTTGCACCACTTGGACATACGCGGCTGGGAATAGTCCCGATTGACCACTCTGATTAAATCCTTCACACCAGCCATCTCCCACATTGTCTCGTATGACAGTCAAAAGTTCACCGGCAGTGATTGACAGCTCCGCCGTTCCTGACTCGCCCGTGAAGTCGTACAGCGCTCTCACCTACAAAAAGAAAGAACAAGAGGAAATAAAGCGGGCGTGTAAGAACAAAGAATCATCTCACACGCTCGTAATAACAGAATGAGTCATAGCGAGACTGGATTGATCGAACTCGGCAACTTAGGTCCTTTCACAAGAATTCTCTTCACGTACCTGCTGATTCTCCATCGTGCACGATTCGCGCGGTCAGACGCGATTCGCTGAGGGAATTCAAACTCCACCGAGAGGCTGCACCCGGTCACATTTCCACTCCTCGCCTCCCGCCGTCACGAACCGTCTGACATTTGCGCGCTCGTACCTCGCACGGCTCGCGGGTATAAGTAGTCACCAGTAACCAGCTGGAGTCGCTGAGAATGACTGTACTCTCTGTACCCCGCAAAGAACAACAGTCCGTCCGCCTCTTATTGCCTCTTATTGTTAATTGCACCTCCTACATTTCCCCTTCCCTTCGTCCGACCATTCCGCAATTTTATCGCTTTCCGTTTCCTCCCGTCGAAGCGTAGATATGTCTCGATATATGTATCTATGAATTCGTTGAATGTTTCTCAGCTCAGCTGCGTTCACTCGTCGTTTCCTCTCGTTCCTATTTTTTTCTTCAAAGCGCGAGGGGCTGAATAAATAAATATCTATTTCATTTCGAACAGATGTCTCGCTTACGAAAAAGTGCAGCAAAAGCTACACGGCGACCGAGGGAAATGGATTAGTCGTTATCATTCAATGTCAACGATATGAACGGGACCGATAGCACTCTGGAAATGGATCGCTGCGTTAAACAATAAACAGAACGACGACCAACGTCGTGCCGATCGACGATTATCGTTTTGACGATTTGCCGCGCACGAGAGAAGGTTAGAGAAATCTGGAGAAATCGAGAACCGGTACTCAGTGTTGCCAACGTGTTATAGAAAAAAATCCCAAAATCCATCTAGAAAAAATCTCTACAATTCTCCAATTGTTCATCAGAAAATTAAAAAATCTCCATTATCAATTTTATTAGGATTATTAGAAAATTGTTTACGAATAATAAAATTGTAACAAAAAATTTAGGCTGCTTTTCGTTGTTCACTACGAGTACTGAAAATCTATAGTTCATGTCGCGTATACTATAGATTTTCAGTACTCGCAGTGAATAAAGCCTTAAACACAATGCGAAGGAATAGCGAGGGAGGATCCCGATTGCACACACCACTCATATCAGCTGGTGCCTAATAATTTTTCACTGCTTTACCAATGAGAATATTTTATTTTTAAATTGGCCAATTAGCGACGCATGTGTGCAACATGCAATATGTGCAATCGGAGCCTTCCCGAATAGCGATAGCGATAGGAATATACACTTTCTGATAGGATTTAAATCTATCAGAAAGTGTATATTCCAGTATATCTGATAGGTTGAAATCGTGTTATTCCTATCGCTATCGCTATTCCTTCGCATTGTGTTTAATAGGCCTTCTACAATAAGCCGCAAGTCAGAACGTCAGAAGTCTTAACCAGAGGGTCGATTCTGTATCTTCAAACAAGGTGAAAATTACAAAAGTGAGCGAATTTACTAGAATACTGATAATTTCATTGGTCAACACCTAGTAAATTTGCTCACTTTTGTAATTTTCACCTTGTTTGAAGATACAGAATCGACCCCCAGTTTCCTACAATTAGCATCAAATCTATTTATCGACACTACGATTTTAGGGGTGATCCCGATTGACCACGTCTCGATTGGACACCACCAATCACAGCGATCGGTGCTTAGGAGCTTTGTAGTCTCAAGCGCTGTGAGTGGCTCGTGTCCAATTGAGCCGGGTCCAACTGGGTGCCACCCCGATTTTATTAACAGTGTCGAAAGTGTGAACGTAGTTCACATCAATTTATAAAATTGATGTTGGTGTCGCGAGTGTACGGTGGCTTTCGAGATCTTTGAGCATCTTTGAGGCCACTGGAGCCCACGTGAAAAATGCTGGGATGGTTTTTCGAGATAGTCTTTCTCAGGTTTCTCTCTGCTCTTGTTTTCATGTGTACAAAACAAAATTATGGTACGATATTTCCTTAAGTTTTCGTACATTGGTACTCAGTACAGGTATAATACAATATTTATATTTTAATATAAACGTATATATATAAACTTATTGATTGGATAGCATGAGCGTGTGCGAGTGCGAGCGACGTTTAACTGTGAGATTTATTATGATTTTGAGTGCGATTTAGCGATAACTAGAGAGTTATTACTTGTTTAATAACTATCTAGTTATCGCTATATATAAATCGTGGTTAAGTTTATATTTATAAATCAAGTCTCTTCTTAACAAGGCAGAAGTAATAAAATATTTTATTCTATTTTATAAACTTGGGCACGACGTTCACGAGTATATCTTGTTTTGCGTATTGAGTCTGTATATCTTTTATTTCTTTTTATCATGTAACTCAACAAAGTACTTTTATAAAGGGGTTTGCAAAGGCAGAGTTCCAACAGTTTTGTACGAGACACAGATTCTATCCAGGGTGCTTTAGAAACTGCTCTGCGAACCGTCATACCAAAAAGCCTAATTGTTCCATCATTATGTCTCTCTAGCAGGTAGACTGTTTATTATGCTTCATATTGCTTTTGTATTGTGTAATCAACTTCCGTTACTTAATATACTTAAGATCTTATAACATTCTACCCATTGTCAAAAATATTGTTCTATGTATGAATATATATATATATAAACTGTAATTTGCATGTTTTCTTGCTTTCTATATGTTTGTTGAAAAGATTAAATTATTCTCATCGATCTTTTATGATATGAAGTGTATATTTTTGTAGAACAGATGCTGGAGTTCATGCTTTAGGCAACACTGCTCATGTAGAGCTTGAAAACAAATATAATATAATATATAATTCTTCAGATGTAAAGAAATATGTAAATCGTTATTTTTCCAAATGTGGTCATACCATTAGGTAATTCTTAAAGACAGTCATCTTAGTCCTGATTGTTTCAAAGTTATTTTAACTTTAAGCGAGACTTAAAACTTTCTCTCTCTATTCTTCTGTCAACTTTAAACAGAGAAAGAGAGAGTTTTAAGCTTTGCTCAAAGTCAAATTAACATTGGTGCAATTGAGTTTTAAATGTTAATACATTTATTAAAATAATACTTTTCATAGATTACTGGATTGTATACCTGTCACACAAAATTTTCATGTAAGATTTGCATGTAAATCTCGAACATATTTATATAGATTTATGATACCTAAAATATGTGGAGAACAAAGGATATCTCTACCAGAAACAATACATACTTATCATATAAGGTAATTATATGAAGTGAAAATTAATGTCCTTTGTCCTGGAGATTGAGTCTTTATCTTGAAACGGGTGAAAATTACAAAAATAACAATTTACTAGATACATTTGAGCAATAAAATATAAAAATTCTAATAAATTCGTTCATTTTTATAATTTTTATCTTTCAAGATATCGAATCAACCCTTTGTTTATGACATATCTTTCAGATCATACAACTTTGACATAGATAGAGCAAGACGTGGTATACAATTGTTTATGGGAACAAAAGATTTTACTACGTTTAGTGCGAAAGCAATAACAGATCGCAAAATCCATTATGTACGTGCTTTACAAGCTTTTACTTTGGAAGAGGCACAGCCTTTAATGCCTTTTGATCCACTGTCTAAACATTTTACATACTTTCATTTCACATGCAAGGCAAGATCTTTCTTGTACAATCAGGTAATACTTTATTCGCAAATAAATACATTTTTGTATGTAAAAAAATTATAAGTACTACATTCTGTTCAGGTCAGACGAATGATTGGTGCTCTAATTGCATTAGGATTGGGAAAAATAACAGAGAAAGATATCACTGTAATGTTACAAGTTCCTTCCCATCATAACTGGAATCCCTGTATTACACCTGTACCACCGAATGGCTTACATCTATTGAATGTAGAATATGATCTAGATGAATTGAGACATTGTACCATATTACTAGAAGAAGAGCAAGAAGAGACACCGCAATTGGAGGAACTACAGTGGGAAGAACAAGGAGTGCAGTTGAAAGAATAGATGACACAAAATATATGTTAAAAAACTGTTAATTGCAAGAGTTGAAAAATATTATTCAATGTATAAAATAGAATCTATTGTATCATTTGGTAGATAATGACGTTAATACATGATCTTTTTTAACGAATGTATTTGACATCCTGATATCTAATGTCAATATCTATATAATAAATACTTACTAATTTTTGCACGATGGATTTACGAGATCTTATCGCGAAAAAAAAATCGTCGTTAAAATCATGTAAAACAGTGATAACGGATCAGTTTGGCAACAAATATGAAATCGAACATGGTCAAGTGAAGAAATTAGAAAAAAGTCTGCCATTCGTGGTAGATGAAAAACCTGACTTGCATGTAGCCAGTATAATACCAGGATTGTACCTCAGTTCTCAAGATCCAGCGGTTTGCAATGATATATTAAAAAAGTATGAAATACGACATATTTTGAGTATAGGTGTCAACCTTTCCGAAAAATATGATGACATTCAGTATCATATCTGTGACTTGTTAGACTTGCCGGAATCGAATATATTGCCATCGATAAAAAAATGTGTTAATATCATACACACGAATCTTAAAGAAAATATTCTTGTGCATTGTAACGCTGGAGTATCTCGTTCTGCCAGTATTGTTATCGCTTATTTAATAATTATTATGAAATTATCATATGACGAAGCTTATAATATAGTGAAAAGAGCAAGAAGTTGTATCAGGCCTAATGATGGATTCGTGAAACAACTACGTAGTATTGAAAATACAACTTTTGTTTATGAATCATGTTTCAATATATGAATTTTTATGTACTTATTCTATATTGATAAATTATTTATCGGTACTTTTGACTAATTTTATATATTTTATAATGATCATAATAAAATAAAATAAGAATTATTTTATTTTATACATGTATGCATATTTGTGATTTTGTGAGTTATTTTACTTCGAACTGAGATTTTGAAAGGGCAGAAAAGAATATATGCCGTAGGAAATGGATAAATAGATCAATGAATGTAGTATATTGTTACAATATAATCCATGTGTTATAACATTATTTACTTATGTGTACAGAGAATATTGTTTTATGTAATTACAATATATTTTATTATAACTCATTAGAAAATTATATTCATGCACAGCATCTATGAAATTCTTAGCCAAAACTAAGCATATTAAAATTTACTAATTCTGGCTTTTCCTTACATTTACCATGCATTGGAGATGACACATAGGTCGCCGTACCAAGTAGATTTATAAAAATTACTGTAAATCTAAAAAATATAAGTGAATTTCTGTATACATGATAATCCTATTATTTCATTCACATAATAGTAGTGTATCAATGTACCGACATTGGTACCTATTACCTCTTTCTCTTTCTTCTATTACATATTACATATTGTATAGAATAATTATTATCAATATCTATATATGTGTTTACATGTGATGTGTATATATACAGGCTGTCCTAAAATCACTAGATGATACTTTACGGATAGATAAAATATATTATTTAATATTTTATTCATTGCAAATATCGAAGCATCGATAGTTTCAAAATGACGATCCATTAAAAATGTGTTTTTCCGCAAATGAGATTCGAACAATACAAAATAGCTTGTAAAAGACTTTTAATTCGAAACTATTAACTACTACATTGAGAAGAATCTTTAAGAGTATTTATCATGAGAGGAATCTTTAAGAGTATTTATCATCCAGTGATTTTCAGATATCCCGGATAAATACAATATATATGTATATGTATATATACATATACATTGAATTTTTTATTTATATGTATAATCTATTATTCACATTCCTCCAACAATTGAAATGAGCTGTCTCGAAGAAAATAGACAAGGCACTTGAACTGAATATCCTTTTCTTAGCTAGTTGGCCTCATAAATAGTAGAATGCAAAGACTTGCACATCAAACGGTGTACAAAAGTAGAACGAATAAATAAAGCCGGCTATCGAAAGGAATTCGTGTATCGTTCACTATTCATAACATCATTCAACAGATTTAATTTGACCATTCTCTGCAGAGTGCCGATTTCACGTATATCTTAGACTCCGTTCCGTTGCACGCATTAATGCGCTTGAGGTATCATTTTATCCTTGTTCGCAGAGTGTTAAACAAGGATAAATGATACATTATGCGCATTACGCATGCAATGGAACATAGTCTTAATGAATAAGCGACGCGGGATCAAGGCCTTCTTCTAAATATCGTGTTTCTTGAACATACAACATTGATTTCTTATAATGATTAAAAATAGTATAATAATTCATTTTGATGTTACAGGTACAAGAAAATGATTTCTATTTACTGAGAACAATGCAAATGTGAGAAATGGCATAAAACACATTTTCCTGTTTCTATACAGCATCAAAAATTTCATTTACTGATGAAGATTATACTGGTTTCAACCTCCGATTACAAATCTTGTTATTTGGACATCATTATTGATAAGTATGCATTCAATGCATCGACAGATCTCTCATTTGTATTAAAATCACAGAGATGTAAGTCGAGTTGGTAACAATTAATGTAATTAAAAATTGCGTAACCCCCCTAAGGAACAAATTTTTCCCTAGAAAGCCCCTACGTTTTCCTCTTTTTTTTTTTGATTCATGAAAATTTTATAATATAAATTTCAACAATCGTGATGTAGTTTAGAAACCACTTCACTTAAGTGGCACAAAATAACGAGAAAATGTGATATATGTACAAAAAAAGATATAAATAAATTAACAAATTATTATGCTAAGATCAACGTATGACTGTTAGTGGTCTATACGTAATACAAAGATTATCTGTGAAAATAATATAATACACGAATAAATCGGCCAGTTTCTGCGGGAAGAAACTAATATACACAAAAATTTGTTTAATCGTAGAATACAAATTGTATTCACGGACAATTTGGATTTCTGTAAAGTAGAAAATACTACAGAATAATTCTACTTCGGAATTTTTGAGGATTTAGTCTTGTTCCGCAGAACGCTGACCCGATTATTTCCCACGAAGCCACAGTCTTAAGTACAACATATCTGTACCTGGAAAGCATATCATTAAAAATGAAAGCCACGAGATTAAATTGACGTACATGTGTACGCCCGACTGGACCGAGTGACATGGCGACGAACTCAGGACAACATGCATTACAGTTACAGATACATAGGACATCGGTATTATGAATTGTAAATATAAACATCGTCGTCAAACGTTGTGTGTAGTAAACCAGTGTCAGAGTCCAATAGAATGGCCAGGTCGTATGCAGCAACAACGTCAGTAATGGAACAGGGAACCACCCAACACAAGTGCATATGCAAGTGTAAGATGTGTTTCATGTGTGTATGTGTATATGTGTACGCTCATATGTGTTTTACATACCGTTTGTCAGAGGAAAGTTACCTTACATCTCGTTAACTTATTAGGTTTCATCAATTGGTTTTTAGTGTGAATTTTTTCAGATTTATAGTTTAACGCTTAATTCCCCAAGGGCCGTCTGGAGTTACAACGGGTACATGAGAGTAACCAGCGAATTGCGGGAATTCCTCTACACTAGCTGTATTCGGTGCGCTTTGAGGCTGCTGTTGCTGTTCCCATGGTCCGCCTTTCACGATGAAGCCGGTATCATTCTCACTGCCACCGATGTTGCTACCGTCATCACGTTGAGGTGAACGCAAACTTTCACGATATTCGTTTTCTATCACATCTTGCATCTGTCATTGTATTTTTTTGTCAATTATAGTTTTAAAATTCTACTTACGTTATAAATGGCTTTAAGCAAACGTCACTTACGTATTCCTCCTCTAGATTCAGTAAACGTTCCCTTGCTTCGGCTACTTTGTCTTCCGCTCCCACGATAGTTACGATATTGGGGTCAGCATCGGTTTTTCTTGGAAACTTTATGTCAACTTTAAATTCCTCCATTATTTTACGGATATTTCTACCTTTTGCACCGATTAAACGTGAATGAACTGCAGCGTGTATCTGCACTTCCTCTTTTGTTAAACCATTCTAACAAGTGAATAAGAGAAAATAATAAATTGTATTAAATAAAACCCTTAGTATAAAGTATTTTTGTGACTGTTCCGTTGAATCATTTTGGAGGACAAAGAAGTATATATAAACTATAATACTTTATTTCAATAGGGATATTTTTATAGAAGTATTTATATAAAAACTGACTTACCAATTCATTGACAATCTTCATAATATCATCTCGTGCACTGAATGCATTCTTCTCATATCCCATTATTGTAATAATATGTTCCTCGGAATCACCCTTGCGCGGGAAGATAATTTGAACGTCGTGATCACTACGTATTTTACTGATCACCGCTCCTTTTCGCCCAATAATTTTTGGATGATATTCCGGATCAACTTCAAGCTAATTGAATAAATGTGAATTATGTAATTCATAACGAGATAACATTTGATGTGTTATTATTTATATTATTTATTATTTTTCTTTAAAAAATATTCGACATCTTTTTTTCAAAATATTCTAAACTTTAATTTGTTGAAAAATCAATCATGAATTAATAATGAACTTACCTTTAATTCAAACGATTTTAATGCTCGATCTTCTCGTTCGGCCTTCAAAGACTCGCATTTTTCAAGGATAGCTTCCTTGGCACTTTGAACGCAGGATGGTGTTCCAGAAATCTAAGAAATAGATAAAAGATAAGTATATGAGATAAATACTTATATTATTATTCCAATAATCAATGTATAACGAAATTACTTTGATGTAATCCAACTTTTCCTCCGCTGGAGAAAGCATGATGTGTACGTCATATGTATTCATTAATTCACGCACATCTTTACCTTTCTGGCCAATTATCGAACGATGGAAATCAAACGGAACGTCAACCTAAATGCAAAGAGGAAAAATCTTGCTTAAGACTAGTTCTATAATTATGAGAGTACATTAGTACAAGAATATTAACTAACTTGAATCGTGATAGGGACGAGATCGAGTAAAGCTTGCTTAGCGGCAGCAACGTTTTCAGGTTGACCGGTAATACGAATTATATCGCAAGCTGGAATAATTTCCATACCTTCTCCATTTTCACCGTTAACTTGTTCCGCTTTTTGCTCGTCTAGAATAATGCAAAATCAAAAATTTTTACTGATTCAATCAAATTAACAATTCGTGGTGAATATATTTGCATAAGAGACAATGAAAACAGTGTACTAACCATATATGTCGCGATCGGGGAATTTAATTTGCACGTCATATTCAGACGTTATGTTTTGCACTTTGCGACCCTTTGCACCCATTACTGTACGATGATGTCTTTGCGGTATTACGCATTCCACCGTTACCATAGATTCCTAAATTGAAAAAACATAGTAAGCATATATGCTTGATAATACATTCGGTGTTCGTTCTACAAACTTACTAGTTCCTGAACGATTTCTCGCATTCGTTGTTTCGCCGCTTCTATGCACTCATGCGACCCTTTTAAACTAACGCGATCGCTATCGACACCTGCCCGAGGAAATGAAATCTGCACACCACCGCATTCGTCAGCAATTCGGTGCAGTACACCGCCTCTTCGTGCTACAAAATGTCTGTGATGCTTAGGATCGATACGAATTTCACCCTCGATAATATTGTCCTGTAAATATGTTAAAAAAGATTTCAGAGATATAATCTATATTTATATGAATTATTCGAAAATAACGATTCTCATACAATCTCTTTAATCGTAGCTTCTAAATCGGCTTTAGCCTTCTCAACCGCTTCTTTCTTTCCCATAATTGTAATCACTTCCTT